GTTCAAAAAGTTTGGTACATTATATTTAGCTGATTTGATTCTTCAGGCAAGCCCTGAGTAGAAAGCATGAATTTTGGACTCCCCCTTCCCTGCCTCCTCCCAGGGATCCTATTATTTCCATTCCACAGGCGAGGAAGCGGAGGGACAGTGATGGGTAGTGACCCCTGATGGGAAGGTCCCACAGCGAGAAGGTGCACAGCAGCCTGGGACCTGGGCAGGCTGGCCCCAGCGTCCCCGTCCTGAGTAATTCTGCTTTCTGAGTGCACAGGTGGCCGTGAACCTGAGCTCTTAACAGAAAACCTTACAACCTCATGGGTTTCTCCTTCTTCCAGGAAGGGGTTATTATTTCCATATTTTTTTCCTCCAAAGAACTCGAGGCACAGAGAAGGCAGGTTAAAAGTTGGGGGTGCCAAACCGGTTTGGCTCAGTGGATAGAGCGTTGGCCTGCGGACTGAAAGGTCCCAGGTTCGATTCCGGTCAAGGGCATGTACCTTGGTTGCGGGCACATCCCCAGTAGGAGATGTGCAGGAGGCAGCTGGTCGATGTTTCTCTCTCATCGATGTTTCTAACTCTCTATCCCTCTCCCTTCCTCTCTGTAAAAAAGCAACAAAATATATATATTTTTTAAAAAAAGTTGGAGGTACTGGGGGGATAAGGACACATATGTAATACCTTAATCAATAAAGAATTTTTTTTTAAAAAAAGAATGCAAACAAAAAGTTGGGGGTATCAGAAGCATGGGGATGGGGAGGGGTTCTGCGAGACCAGGCAGCTGGGGGAAGGGGCGTGGGATTTGAGTTCCGACCCCCCAATAAGAGGGACCTCAGCCCGGATCAGGCCTACCTGTGCAAGGGAGAGGGGGGGTCTTCAGGGCCGCGGCGCCCCCTGTGTGGGGCAGGCAGCTCCCAGCGCGCTGTCCCTGCTGAGACCCGCTGCCCGGCCCGTGCCCAGACCCCCCTTCTGCTCCTCCAGCTTTGCTGCTTGGTTCTTCTCATCCCACGCGGCTTCCCTCCTGACTTGCCCAGGCACCCTCTACCCCCTCCTCTTTCCCCAGACCCCAAGAGTCTGCACCCCCACTGCTTGTTGGAGTCATGAAGTTGCACCCCCAGTTCTTTCCTCCCCCAGAGACAGAGGAATCCAAGTCTTAAGCTTTCATTTCTTGGTCCTTTCATCCTTAAAGGGCCCCAGGCTGACGCTCAGCAGCTGCAGAGCCTTGGGAAGGCGAGGGGCCAGCCTCGGAGCCCGCACCTCTCCACTTCCTGACCTCCCCCGAGACTGGCCCCTCAGCCCTTCAAGTCCTGAGCCCGCTTCTCTGGGTCTCCAAGGTTCCAAGGACCAGACCTGAGCTCTTCCTCGCAACCCAGATGCTTAATTCCCAGCCTCTTCCTTCCAACCCCCAGGGCTCTGTCCTGGTGGGGACCCGAGCAGGGCGCATCCCAGATCCTGGGGAACGAAAGTGACTTCTCCCAGCCCTTTGGGGACTCTGGATCCAACCTCTCAAAACTTCACCCACACCCAGCCCCTCCTCCCTCAGACCCTGGAACCCGGGCCTCCAGCCCCCTCCACCCGCAGACCCAGAAATCTGGGCCCAGGCCCCTCCCTCCCTGCTCCGCCCTCCCTGCTCCTCCCCCCCTCTCCCAGCCCCGGCCCCAGCCCCAGGCCTGGTCACCACCTCACCCACCTGCGAAGAAGAGTCGTGAAGACAGAAGGAAAAAGACAGAGAAAAAAAGGGGGCGGAGTCAGCGCGGGGAGCCCCCAGGATGCACCCCTCCTGGACCCCAGCTGCCCCGCCCTGGGGCTGACACTCACCCGTTGACAGCGATCTGGGGGGCGCTTTGCTGCGGGAAATAAGGCGGCAGGTCAGGGGCAGGACAGGGTGGCGGGGTGGGGGGAGGTGTCACCCTCCCAGACCTCCCAGTCCTGGCCCTGCTGTGTCATTGGGGCAGCCTGCTGTCCCCCCAAACCTGAGCCTTACCTGCCTGCGCCGCCGCTCGTGCTGCAGCTGTTTTTCTACTGGGTCCTCCCAGGGGCGGCCCTGCGGGTCGGCGGCCGGGGGCTCCCAGCCGCTGTAGAACTCGGGGATATATGGGGGTCCCTCCTCCGGGGGCAACTCCAACCTGCAGCCAAGACGGGCCGAGGGCTCAGTGAGCCTGTTGCACCCCGACTTAGCCCCGTCTCTTCTCCCCTGCCCCCGCCCCCTGTGCCCAAGCCTCACTCTAACCCAGCTATTCTCTCCTCGCCTCTTTGGGCCCAACTCCGGCCCCGCCTCTAAGCCCCGCCCCTGACATCGATTATATTTCTAAATGCACTGATTCCAACGAATGGTCCCCCAGCCTCTGAATCCAGACCGCTTTCTAGCTGCGCGCATTCCTTGCTGGCTCTGACCCTACCACGCGAGGATCTCGGCCTCCGAGTACAGACTCCGCCCCTTTTCCCACCCTCAGACTAAACCTTACCCAAACCCCGCCCCTTCTCATGGCTCCGCCCCCCTAGTCCCGCCCCATTCCTATAAGCCCCGCCTTTCGTTCCCGTCCGATGATTCTAACTGATGTAGTTTGAAATCTCTCCTTCACACTAATTTCTGGCCTTCCCTCCAATCGGATGCTGGCATTTGTCCTCGGTCCCGCTCTTTCTTCATTGGCCACACCCTCCGGCCGCCAATCACCACGCCCCGCCTCCCTGCCCCTCAATCACCACGCCTCTGCTCACATGCCCCGCCCCTCCCGTCACCACGCCCCGCCCCAATCACCACGCCCCTGCGTAACCTACCTCGTCCCTCCAATCACCACGCCCCTGGGTAACCTGCCCCGCCCCTCCCATCACCACGCCCCCTCCCATCACCACGGCCCCTTCCCCCTTCCATCACCACGGACCGCGCCCCACGCCCCGGGCCAGACCACGAACACCCCTGGGAACCTGCCCCGGCC